ATAACCACAAATATATATATATTTTTGTTTTTTTGAGACAAGGTCTTGCTATGCAGTTCAGGCTGCCCTCCAACTTGCAGTGATCCTCCTGCCTCAGCCTCCCAAGTGCTGGGGATTACAGGTGTGAGCTACCATGCCCAGTGATCCCAAAAATCTCAAGAAAAGAATAGTGAACAAAACCCAGTGATAGATATCAAAGGATGACAAGATCAGCAAGTAGGGTCTATTTTAGATTTTCTTAAGGCTGTATAACTTTTGGCATTCAGTCAGGTAATTCCCTGCAGTAATGGAATAAAGAAGAAAGTCATATGATTAATATATAAGAAAGTCATATGATTCAATATAAACAGAAAAGGCACTTGACAAAATTCAACACCATTTATGAAATTAGGTATAGAAAGGCTCTTCCTCAACCTGATACAAAGTGGCTGTGAAAAACCAAGAGCTAGCATAATATTGAAAGGGGAAATACTGAATATTGAATGCTCTGGTCCTAAACAGTATGTCTACCTCTACCACCTTTATTCAACCTTACACTGGAGGTTCTCACAGTGTGGAAAGGTACAAATAAAAAATTAAAACAGCTTGAGGATCATAATAAAAGAATTAGTACTATCTCTATTTTCTTTTTTTTGTTTGTTTGTTTGCTTTTTGAGAGAGGGTCTTGGTATGCAGTTCAGGCTGGCCTTGAGCTCACTTTGTAGCCCAGGCTGGAGTCTAACTCACAAGGATCTTCCTGCCTCAGCCTCCTGAGTGCTGGGATTACAGGTGTGCACCACCATGCTGGCCTACTATCTCTACTTTCTAGTGACATGAATATTCAGGAAGAAAATTGTAAGGATTCTACAGGATGACTATTAGAACTTAGCACTGTCTTAGGATCCAAGACCAATATTAAAACATTGATTGTATTTCCATGTGTTAACTTCAAGAATTGTAAAATGAAACAAACAAATTCTACTTTAACACAACTCAAAAACAGGTATAAATTGATAAAAAATATGCAAGACCTTTGCATTTAAAACTACGAAACACTCTTGAGAGACATAAAATGAGAAATAGTCCTACCATGTTTGAGTACAGAAAACTGAATATTGCTAAGCTTATTACTAAATTAACCTATAAATTCAAGGCAAGTGTAGTCATAATCTTAGTACGGTCTTTTGTAGATATTGGCAAATTGATTCTAAACTTTCTATAGAAATGTAAAAAGATAGCACACACAAATGCTTGAAAAGCATGAAAGTGGAGGATTCACACTACCTGACTTCAAAAGTTATGATAAAACTATGGTAATCAAAACAGTGTGATATTTCCATGTATGGGCACAGATGAATGGAATGAAATAAAGAGCCTAAAGTTAAAATCCACACTTTGTGGTACTTTGATTTCCTGCAAAGGCTCTAAGCAATCCCTGGAGAATGACAAGGTTTTTGTTTTTTTTAAAAATCATGGTTCATCTAGAAATTCATATATAAAAATATACAAAAAAAAAAATACAGGGGGCTGGGGATTTAGCTCAGCGGCAAAAGCGCCTGCCTGGCAAGCGCAAGGTTGTGAGTTGGGTTCCCGGTACCGGAGAAAAAAAAAACAAAAACAACAACAACAACAAAAAAAACCAATATGTGTAAATATAGCATTATTGATCTGGTTTGAGAAACCAAAAGTGTAAATAAGGACCAGAGTGTATAATAGGGATTGTGAAACAGGAAGAAATTGTTCAAAAGAAATGAGAACTAGGGAGGGAGGAGGAGGAGAGGAAGAAAGGGAAAACATGATAACAGAAGGATAAAATGGAAAAAGTTGTAAATCAGGAGGGGAGGAGGGATTGAAGGGAGGGGAGGGGAATGAGAAAAAAAGAGGAATCGAGTTATATCTTGTATAGGGACAAATTCCCTATGATGACTGTGGTCATTACATGCATCTAAATTGTACCAACAAACTTAATAAAAAAAAAGAAAAAAAGAAAAAGAATCACCACTTCTGTTTCATGTAACCCCCCTCCAAATAATCCCTAGCATGGTTTTAAAAGCAAACATAAAAGTGAAGCCCCCAAAGCCGATAAAAAAAAGAATATCTTCACAGCATACAGGTAGAAAAGAACATTCTAATGGACTCCAGAAGTTAATAATCATACAATTTTTTTTTTTCTTTGTCCTTTGATACCAGGGATTGAACTTAGGACCTTACACTTACCAGGCAGGCGCTTATGCCACTGAGCTATGTCCCTGGCCCAAAATTTGTAATTAGATTTCTTCAAATTTAAACTTGTGTTAATCAAATCTACATTTAAAAAATGAATGTGCAAACCTCACACTGAGAGAAAAAATTTGCAAAATATATATTTCTGTTTTTTTTTTTTGTTTGTTTGTTTGTTTGTTTTTTCTTCCTGTACTGGGAATCGAACTCACGACCTTGCACTGGCCAGGCAGGTGCTGTGCCGCTGAGCTAAATCCCCAGCCCCCAAAATATATATTTCTGAAGGACTTTTGGTTCACAATATATATTTGTAATAATTCTTCCAACCAATTAATAAAAAAAATCCAGTTTTTATAAAATGTGACAAATATATATATATATTTTTTCTCTTTTTGAGACAGGGTCTCGCTATGCACTTCAAGCTGGCCTTGAGCTGTTTTTGTAGCCCAGGCTGATCTGGAACTCGCAACGATCCTTCTGCCTCAGCCTCCTGAGTGCCGCGATTACAGGCGTGCGCCACCACACCTGGCTCAGTGCCAAATATTTGAATAGATATTCAGACAGGAGGATATGTAAATGTTCAATGTCCCCTCAGGAAAATGCACAGCATTGGCCCTCCTGTAAACACAAATGAGATGGCATTGCCTAACCACCAGAATGTCCACAGTTATAGTACAGTGGTACCTCTGTTTACAAACTTAATTTGTTTTACGGTTTGGGGGCAGATGGCTGCTTTGGTATCCATGTGTGGAAGACAGTTGTGGTTGTGTTGTCACTGGAGCTTGAGAACTGGAAGCAAAATTTTGCTGAACACTTTTGTTTGAACTGCCTGCAAATAGAAGTATTCGTGAAGTGAGGTATTACTGTATTTAATTGTCACTATTTGGGGGCTGAACGCAGACAGTCAGACATGCTAGGAAAGCTCTTTACCACAGAGCTAAGCCCTTAGTCCTAAAATTTAAATTCAAACTCCTGAATTGGCAAGGAAGTGGAAACTTTGAAATTCTCCTACAGTGCTGATGATATAATCGCTTTGGAAAAAGCCCTCATAGTGTCTTGTAGGACTAAAAGTAACTAGTATGATCTAGCAATTCTTTTATTTACTTATTTATTTAAAATTGTTTCTGACCCAGCAATTCTACTTCTTGATATTTATGCAAAGACTGAAGACAAATGCCCAGAGAAAGACTCGTGCATAGTCGTAACAGCTTTCTTCATCGTAGCTAAAAACCGGACAAAGCTCAGGCGTCCATCAACAAGAGAAGGTGTACACGGTCCTGTTTCCATACAATGGAATACTATTCAGTAATGACAAAGGAATGATCTACTTGCACTCACTCAACATAAATGAATCTTAAAAACCTATGTATGTATCCTGCATAGAGAAGAAGGGTGTTTGTCCGTTAGACAGTGGGAGAGAGTATAGGGGCTCTCTGGGTAAGGATTGAAAGACATTTGTAGATCTGGAGTGGTGGCTATAGTCTGTTTGAATTACACAGGTATATGCATTTATCAAAACCCATCAAAGGGCACATTAAAGATTTATTTATTTTTCAAGGAAAAAGTTAAACAAGTTTTGAACTCTAGCTGCTGATATCTTTCCCTAATGTTTAGATCTAAAATTTACTAAGAGCTGCAACTTTCTGATGCATCATAGAAATAAATGGATGGATAGATGAATGGGTATCGTTAGTATTCAAAGAAGACAATATATAGCGATATATTATTAGCAGAATATACAGGATAGGTATCTAGGCATCTTTTTCTGAAATATTTTCAAAATAAAATGTTGGGAGCAAAAAGGATTTACTACAAAAGTGACTCTTGCCTGGACTTCTATTTTTTTTTTCATTTGTTTATTTTTTTGAAGCAGGTTCTCATCATGCAGTTCAGGTTGGTCTTGAGCTCTCTTTGTAGCCCAGGCCAGTCTCGAACTCGCAATGATCCTCCTGCCTCCTGCTGGGATTCCAGGTATGCACTGCCATGCCTGGCTTACCTGGACTTCTAGATATAGATATGAAACACAACTGTGTGTGTGTGTGTATTTACTATAAATAGCACATTCTAAAGAATCTGTTGTGGGATCGCAGTTGTTGCTCTGTCCCAGAAGAGGGGACACATGTGAGATCAGGTGAGTTTTCTGTGATACAACTGGCAAATCAGTAACTCCAGTTTGAATTTTTGAGGTGTGTTCCTTAACGTTTTACCTCAGATTTCCGGGTTGAATATCTGGCAAAACTTATGTTTGTCATGGATTTACACCATCAGATTTTTGTTAAATACAGGCAGTGGAAATATTCACGAAGGAATGTTACCATTTACCTACTCTTAATCCTACATAGAAAGTAAGTAAGGCGTTATTTAACTATGTACCTTGGAAATAACTCCCTTGAAGATATTTCCTGCTTCCTTTAAAATCCAGTACTGCATTTTTCAACAGTGAGAAAGTATGAGAACTGACTGAGGCCTTGCGATTTAATTTAATTTGTTTCGTTCCATCTATAAATTAAATGAAAATACTTGTCTTCCAACTTGGCATGAGAGGAGACCGGTTCAAGTAAAGCAAACGCAGCCGAGGTAGAAGGAAAATGTTCCACATAGTCCTACAAAGGAGAGGATTTTTTCCCTCCCTCTTTTAAGCCCTATTTTTTTTTTTTACAGTTAAAAAAAATCTATAGAAAAGAACAATAAGAAGAATTTTCTATCAGTGCCGATGAAATATTACTAGTCAATATGGACTCATAAAAAAGAAGAGTTTCATTGTGAGGCAAAGAACATATAAGGGTTTTATACAAACTCACCCGTAGCATTCCTGTCCTGGGGAGCGGTAGGGAAGACGCCGTGGCTTAGCTTCTCACAGAGTCTCAGTGTGTGCAATCTGGGCGGGCCAGGCTGTCTGCTCATAAATACTTTCGCTGAGCTCCACCAGGTCAGGAAGATGTGGGTCCTTCCCAATGCCACTTCTTTAGCTGAAGCTTTCCCAACTACTCGCTGGAGTTTTAATCAGAAGTCATCCCAGGAGGATCTGTACTGGCCAAGGAAAAAAGAAATCATTTGCTTCTGAAGATTCGAAAAGGAAACAGGAAAGTGTATGACTGAAATATAGTTGTTTGCTTTTTTGTATCACAACCCTAACTGCAAATGCCACCAGTATATATAGCCCTGAGGAAGCAAACACGGTGACTGGGCATGCACACTCTCTCTCTCTCTCTCACACACACACACACACACACACACACACACACACACACACGTGCTCCAGCAGGTGGCTTATAGGAGTGGCGTGTTTTGACAGAGGTCAATTTCTATATGAACCCTTCTCTAACGATAACAGGTAGGCTGAATAGTTGAGAGTCTCATTATGAGGTTCTAGCTGGTTTTGAACTCACTATGTAGCTCAGGTGGGCCTCAAACACCTCGTGATCCTCCTGCCTCAGCCTCTGGAGTGCTGGGATTACAGGTGTGTGCTACCACGCCTGGCTTCCATGTTTCTTTCTTTCTTTCCTTTTTCTTTTTTTATACCGGGAATCAAACTCAGGACCTTGCACTTGCCAGGCAGGGGCTTGTGCCGCTGAGCTACATCCCTGGCCCCCATGTCTCTTTTTGGCACATTTTTCCCTTCCCCCTCTCTGCCCAGACTTGGGCTCATATTTGGTGAAAAGCTTACCAACTGCTCCTTTGCTCCTACAGTGGCTTAAGCTGTACAGTCCCTAAACTGCAGGAAGGAGGTACGTCATTTAGCTGTGTTGGATGACCTCAAGGACTGTACTGAGGTGATACATAGTGCTTATGGGTTTTATTTTATTTACTTATTTATTTTTTGTCTTTGAGTCAGGGTCTCTCTATGCAGTTCAGGCTGGCCTTGAGCTCACTTTGAGTGCTGATGGGTTTTAAAAGACTGGCAGAGTGGGCTGGCTAGCATAAGGCAGAAACTTGAGGAGAAGGTTGTTGGTCCATTTCATCTGTGGAGATTCTGTTAGAAAAGACTAATTTGATGGCTGGGCGTGGTGGCACACACCTATAATCCCAGCACTCAGGAGGCTGAGGCCTGAAGATCATTGCAAGTTCAAGACCAGCCTGGGCTACAAAGTGAGCTCAAGGCCAACCTGAACTGTATAGAGAGACCCTGTCTCAAGAAGACACACACACACAAAAGACTAATTTATACAAGAGCAAATTTCACTTCCCTGAAATCTCTACCAACAGAGCTTATTTTCAGCCAAGGTGAATATTTTATTTACTTAAACTCAGGGTCAACTAGGCTATATGAGGACAGTTACATCATTCTGTCTGAATCATAAGCCAGCTACTTATTTTGTTTTTGTTTATGTCCTAAAACCAAGACACTCCTCCCCCACCAATCTTGGTTCTTTTCATTTAAAGAGTTCCTGGCTTGTTAAGGGTTCATACAGGAAGTGCAACGTCTGGAAGACTGTGAGACATTTACAGTAAAAGGGCTCTGCTCAGCCCCAAGAGGACAGGAATACTATCTCCTCATTGTAGATGGTGTTCTTTCCCTTAACAGGAAATACAATATGGTCTTGGTTACTTTTCTCTGGTTGCTGAGACAATATACCTGGTGCCCAAAATTAAGGAAGGAAAGGTTTATTTAGCTCATAGTTTGTAGAGGTTTCAGTTCATACTCAGCTGGCTTCAAGGCAGAGCGGCACATGGCAGAGGGCAACAGTTCATGGAGGTGGAAGACAGCAAAAGCACCAAGAGCACAAGGGAGGAGTGGCAGAGAAGAGCAAGCCTCTTTCCCTCCCTTATATTGTAAGCAGGCTACCCCCACCCAGGAGGCGTGCAGCACTCACATAATCTCCATGCCCTCCTTTTGCACAGGTTTAGGACGGATACAAAGTAAGGACCCTGGCCCCCTGCTCAGTGACTCATTTAACCTTCTAAACTTCTCACACTGACACAATGAACAACATCCTAGAGCAGGAAGGATATGCCCCCCCTCCCACCAGGATGTAGAACTGCTGAGTTACCTAGTTAAGCTTCTAGACTCCTCAAGTTGACACAGTGTATCAACCATAACAATTATAAAATATAATTTTAATGTTATGGGATTCAATTTAAAATATATTTTAAATGCATACATTATTATACAGTGAATGCATACATTGTTAGAATGTATGCACTTATACAGTATTTGAATCCCCAAATCTCTTTTTTTACCTATTGCAGGTAAGCCAGATATTCTCTCTTCCGTACGAGTGAACATGGCTTCTTTGAAAATAAATGTACGTCCTTTAATTCCTTCCACTAAATTCTGTTTCATTGGCTTGTCCAGTGTCAGGTCTCTGTACGGTCTGAGAATGCATACGCTGCCTCTCCCAGCTTTGCGTTTTCGTAAACTTCATAAGCAGTGTTTTCCCTATGAAGTGACCCGCAAAGCTGCTGAAAAGCATGCGGTGACGTCTACAGTGTGATTTAAATCTATCAATCAACACTGCTTAGTGATGTTACTCAAATAACTACTAATCTTCATGTGACAAGATCATCCACCTGAGCTTCCCTGTTACACATCGCTCTTCGGAGGCCGTCACGGATGTGGTGGCAGCTGGTTACCCTATTTTGCTGATTACTCTGAGTCAGCTCCAAGAAATAAGGTCAGTCCAGCAGCAGTTGTTCATGGCAGTTCATCGCGTTTTGGTGACAGCAGCTTTCTGTTTTGGAGGTTTATACATGCTGCTTTTAACAATGAGCCCTTTCTTGGGAGAAGATGCCTCTGGCCATCAAGGGGACCTGGAATCCTTGGGCCTCTTGAACTGTAGAGAAGACATAGGGTAGGAGCGATTTTTTCTTTCAGAATAGAGAATGTTCTGTTTGGTTTTTCCTTGGGGTGTTTAAGACAGTTTCTGGAGTGGAACCTAGAGAAATAATTTGATGCCTTATCTCTGAATTTTATTTCAAGCAAAATTCTACTTTACCACATGAAACTAATAAGACTTTTTTTTTTTTGTCCCTTTTGAGACAGGTCTCACTATGCAGGTCAGGCTGGCCTTAAGCTCACTTTGTAGCCCAGGCTGGCTTGGAGATGGAAACGATCCTCCTGCCTCATCCTCTTGAGTACTGGGATTACAGGCATGCACCACCACGCCTGGCCAAATAAGACATTTTATAAAGACAAGGAAAGGGTTTATAGCATCAGCTTCTGAAAGTGGCATGGAATGAATTTTTCTTAGATATGAACTTTGTTTTAATTTGCATATTCATAAAGTTAAAAATTTGATTGGCATAAGGGAAAAATTCTTCATTCTCACCTCTAATTTTCAGCTATCCAGTAGTTGTCACTAAAGACAACCAAAATCACTAGTGTGTGTGTGTGTGTGTGTGTGTATGTCTGTGTGTGTGTTCTTCTAGAGATTTTAGGCACATGCAATCAAATACAGTGGTACCCTGGTTCACAAACATTTCAAAATTTGGTTCACACACAGAATATTTGGAAAAATTTTGTTTTTTTTTACAAACTTGGCATCAGGTGACAAACATGACCACGGCCGTCTGTCCCACACAAACACACATGTGGCCAGCTTTTTCAAAATCGTAGAACAAATTACGTTCATGAATCAAGGTACCACTGTAAGTAAAAAAATATATTTAACCTCAAATGGTAGATTAATGCTTATTTTTCTGTCTTTTAATTTTTCTGTTTAATATACCAAGAAGATTATTTTAAGAAATGAACCCTTTAAGTAGTTATGAGGGCTTGTTCTTTTAAATGCCATATAAAATGTTTTTCCTGTGCTGTTTTTGTTGTTGTTTGCTTTTATTTTAATAATAAAATATTATTATCATACTATTTTAAAGTACATTAATCTTAAAAGTTGACATAGACCACTAGATGGTGTTGTTACTACAAAGAAGTGAAATATGTATTGTATATATTTTCTTTCTTTTTTTATATTATATATATTTTCAAAATAATTTGTACACTTTAAAGAAAAAATGAACTGCTATAACACTTTATTATAGCAGTAAATTAAACTAAACTAAACTAAACTAAACTAAACTAAACTATAGCCAGGTGTGGTGGCACATGCCTGCAACCCCAGCACTCAGGAGGCTGAGGCAGGAGGATCGTTGCTCTTGAGACTATCCCGGGTTACAAAGTGAGATCAAGGCCAGCCTGAACTGCATAGTGACACCCTGTCTCAAAAAGGCAAAAACAAAACAAAACAAAACAAAAAACCAAAAAAACCCTAAACTGTAAAAGCTAAGCTCCTAGGTACTATTCATTGAAGATAATCATAATACTGATGTAGAGAAATATAACCCCTTACCTATTAGATGTCAAATATGTCAATTTTGTAGCCCTACAACATTGAGCAATGAAGTTATAAGTCAAAGGAAGAAGCTGAGAGAGTTTTATTGGAAATAAGGAGAGAAGAATAGGCCCTGGATTTCCAAGGGGGGCCCTGAATGGTGTGGCCACGGAGGCTCTTTGTCAGGGGTAATTTATACAGCAAAGCCACAGCGTGGGATCAGTGTGGGTCCCACTCCAATCACCCTGTAGGGTTAGAAGTATAGCTGCTTAGCTAATATTGATCCAGTAGAGAAGTGGGTCAAGTAGCAAGGACACATGGAAAGAACAAAAGCATTTTTGGGAAAGGGCTGATGCCTATCAGGACTTCCTGGGCCAGGTGGTGCTAATTACAATATAATCTCAAGTCAGTGTTTATGCCTGAGGGAGACAGCAGGCCTGGTCCTTGCATCTTTATCTTGAGGCCTGGCCTTCTTCAGACGCACCTTCAGCCACAGTGTTGATATCTTTAGTTTTCACTGACCTTGATGGCCCAGCTTTCTGCTGTATATTAATTTCTTTTTTTTTTTTTGTATATTGATTTCTACCTAACTTAGCTGCTTATAATAACATTATGAAGATTTTTTTCTTTCCAGTTATTTTATCTACATTGTTTACCTATGTGCATGTACAAATAAAATATCTAACATTAGTCAGTATAGATTAATAGATTAATTTCATGCCTCAATAAAACTTGTTGAATGAATTATTTTAAATGGTCAGAACGCCATACGAGGTGCCACAATTTATTTCACCTCTGAGAGAAGACAGGTTGTGCCGGAAATTTTGCTTGCACAAAAAAAGAGTGCAGAAACTGTCCCCGTACATCCAGCGTGGAGTACTGGGTGGAGAATTCCATGCGCAACACCATTTGTCCT